GAGGTGACACAAAGTTAGTGATTTGCAATGGTGGCATATAAATGCATGGAGAGAGGAGAGGAGCTCAGTGTATCATGGGAAGTCCCCCAGTCTAGGCCTGTAACTAATGGACGGTACTCCAAACCAAACCTATCCTAGCCCTTCAGTGGTTTTTATATCCTGGTGATACAAACATTTGATTGGATGTAAGAAAATCCAGAAATCAAGACGGCCGCCCAAAGAGGGACAACCTCTGACCGCAAGACACGCGCCAACACCCTCTACATATACACTACACTGATGTGATCACCCAAGTGGAATATGGCACCCAAGGGTCACAGGATGCATCAATGCCAATAAACCAGGACCCAAACTACTACTGCTTTTAATATGAAGGGGGGAACAGAAGAGCAGTAGCAAAGAATGGCCTGACATGCTGGAGCAGAGGCACAAGGAAGGCAGATTTGGTGAGATGTTACGTAAAGAATCTCCAGAACCTTCTGTTGAATGCAACACCAAACTTGTGTAAGTGCCAAAGCACACCTCCAGAGCTGTGTTACACAACCTTTGAGTGTAGTTTGAGGCAGATCCAAAAGCTGAGCACAACAAGAAGACAAGTGAAATCCTGTTCCCTCTCTACAGTAATGGACCAAACCTGTGTGCTGCATTCAAACTGAGCTTTTACAATGTTTTTGTGTTTCAGGAGGAGATGAATCGAGGGAAGCCCAACTGGGAGCACCTCAGCGAGGACCTCCATGTCCTGATCACAGTGGAGGATACACATAACCGGGCCAAGATCAAACTCCAGCGGGCCATCAATGAGGTCAAGAAACTTCTCGTGCCTGCTGTGAGTATCAGTCCGAAAAGCCCTCGGCATCAAATATTATGGACTGGATTGATGGAGAAACTGTGTGTGACTGGCTAAGGGTCCACTGTGTTGGTATGCATGGAAGGGGGAAGGGGATTGTCAGTCCAAAAAATGTGTGTTTGTGTCTTTTTTGTGTTTTGTGTGTGTGTGTGTGAGAGACAGAGTATGTGTAAGGGGTTAGGGTAATTAGGGAACACGCATAAAGGGGTTTCCATGGTAACCCAGGGTTGTTTGAAAGGCTGAGGGAATGAATGGAGAGTCTGTTCACTCGTTCTCCCCACTACATCACTCCATTCACTCGTTCACAACTCACTTCATTCCCAACTACTGGCTACAGTATTACTTTTTCTCCCTGGGCTTTTTTGTTGTTGTCCACACAAGAGGACATTTGATTGCACTCCTCAACATTTCCCACATTCTCCAGCCCACCTACATCCTCTCTACAGACACCCAGATGTACATACGTAACATAACAAACAACAACTAAGAAATACAGTGAAACATAGAACAGACATGGGATAGACAATCTCTGATTGATCCTCTTTGACACACGAATCACAAGGCTCCTTCCCTTTTCCTCTACATTATTTGCAACAATAGAAACTACCGAAAAGATTAGCAGGGGGATTTCTATTGCAGCAATCAGCCGTCACTTCCCACTTTCATCAAAGCAATGGCCAACCCTAAAAGTTAAGGGCATAAGTAACATCTATAGGCAATCAGGAATGGAACAGCTGTTAATCTGTGTGTTTGCGTGGCAGGGGAAGGTAATGATATGTGTTAGTTTAACCCAGTCAGCCCCTTTTCACTCAGCTGTAACTGGAGCAAAGAAGCTAGTGTGCCTGACACTGAGAATGTTCTTGAGGTGAGGTTCCTGTGTTCAAGGTCAGGTCAGCTTCATTACAAACAGTGGAAAGAAAAAGAAACAAGCCCAGGCTTTTTCCCATCAGAACACATTTAAATTGAACTACAATTAGTTTGAGTATACTAGAACATTTTCTGACTTTTTTAACCAGGCTGTCAGTAAATGGATGAATGACAGTTGTAGCTAAGCTAAGCTCATTGTGCTGTTGTACTTGTATGTGTTGCTGTAGGCTGAGGGGGAGGACAACCTGAAGAAAATGCAGCTGATGGAGCTGGCCATTCTCAATGGGACCTACAGAGACGCCAATGTCAAGACGCGTAAGGATGACATCATAGTTAACATGTGAAGGAGGGTTGGTGGGTGACATAGGAGGGGTCTCGGTACAGGAGTCCACTGTACCTATGAACAATGCCTCTGTTTGGCCTGTTAAATAGACCGTTTGTCTTCTCCTTTTCTTCCCTGTCTATTCTATCTGTGTTCACTTTGTGTGTGCTCATGTGGGTGTACGCGTGCTTGCATTATTGTATGTTTGTGTTCTGCACAGCCACTGCCGCCTTTCCGCTAGCGACCCCTCAGGCTGCTCGGATCATCACAGGCCCAACGCAAGTCCTGCCTCCCGCCCTGCGCAACCCCGCCCCCGTTACCACGCCGACCATCATGCCTCTGATCCGTCAGATCCAGAGCTCCACGCTCATGCCGGGAGCCAATCCACACCCGGCGCTGGTGCAACAGGGACCTGAATCTGGAATAATCTACACACCCTATGAGTATCCCTACACACTCACGCCTTCCATATTGGAATACCCGATTGACTCAACTGGAGTATTAGGTACATAAATTTATAAGTTCATCACTTTCATTTGTAGCCAATGGATGTATTATGAGAACTGGATACTGGACTCCAATGAAAGTTGCTCACCAAGTGCATACACCAAAACATTTTCTGCT